GTCCTGAGATAGTGATTTAAGGGTTCCAACACTTGTCCTGGGATAGTGAATTAAGGGTCCCAACACCCAAAGTCTTGGGATAGTAAATTAAGTATCTCAACACCTAAAGTCCTGGGATAGTGGATTGAGTATCCCAGACCTCAAGTCCTGGGATAGTGAATTAAGTATCCCAACACCTGAAGTCCTGGGATAGTGAATTAAGTATGCCAGCACCTGGAGTGTTGGGGTATTAAAACGAGTATCCCACCACCTAAAAGTCCTGTGATAGTGGATTGAGTATCCCAAAACCTAGGATCGGGACTACAAAACCATTAAGGGTCACTAAAAAGCTCCGGGTGGAACGGGAAGAACACACTACGATTAGTAAATTTTAATTCGGATTGTGGAAGAGATATTAGACTGAAATTGTTTTACAATTTTGAAAATTTAAAAATATTGGGGGTTTTCTGAAACTTTGACTACGTTTTTACATTAACAACTGTACACAGTCAGAATAGTAAATAAACGTCATAAAGATAACAAAATTGTCGTTACAGGAAAGGAGAGGGGTAGGATTTCAGCAAAACCAACAGACAACGTAGAGGAAGCAAACACCTACAAACCCCAGAGTAATGAGAAAATATCTTTCAGTTTACATGGTCAACACCAGAAGCAACAAGGAGCAGAAGACCGAGGAAAAGCAAACTAAGCAAAAAAGTGTGCCTGTCACGGAAAATGATTTTGAGACGCCAGAGCAGAGCTTAGATGGAAAGGAGCGAAAAACTTTGGAATCGACACCTATGCCGAATGTAGAAGATCAAGGAACGAAGTCAATGGAGTTCTCACCGATAGACAAGGGAGACGAAAACACTTACAACACGCCGGAGACGATAAAGGTCGATTCGAAAACGAAGAGAACAGCGCTCACGGAGAAACTTGCGGCGATGGTTGGAATGAAACCGAGAGACAGAAAGAGGAGATGACAACAACGACCGAAAAAGGCAAAACCTTTGGTACAGTTTCCATGATAACCACAGAAGCTGACCAGGGGAAGGAGCAAACAATAGAAGGAGCAGTGGGTCACCAAAATGGGTAAGCAGCAGAATGGAAATTACCACTAGTTGAGTTAGGGGACTTGGTGTCAAAGTTGGATCAGATAGACAAGAAGCTGAAGTGCAGCGAAGAGGACCGCCAGAAATTAAAAAAGGAGTTTCGACATAACAAAAATGAAAATCTGAACAACTACTTCAACTTAGCAAGGGCCACTGAAGAAAAGCTGCAACAGATGGCAAACAAGGTGGAGACAACAGACAAGGAGGGGGAAAACGTATCAAAAAAATATGGAGGAATTGAAAAGGCGGTGTGAGACCGTAAATGATAAGTTATGGAACATAGAGACGCGAATGGACACAATGAGAAGAGACAAGGCGGAGAATTTTTGTGCCATACAATCCAAATTGGATCCACTCTTGAGAAACTTTGTTGCTCAAGATAAAACGGTACTAGACAAAACAGAAAAGATAACCGGAACAAGGGTTGACTTTGTGGAACCTCAACGTAAAAAACAGGAATTGACACCCTTACCACTGATCAACAACAGCATAGGATCAGGGATGACCAAAACGGCTCTAAAAGAAGGAGCCTCGAGCTCAGCAGGGATACCATGGGATTCGGGCGCACACACGAGTGTAACATCTGATGTCATGGTATGGGCAAATACTTGGGAAATGATGAGTAGGACACTTGAAACATTCGCCACAAGAAACACACAGAAGAGCCATAAAAACGGAGGCAAATCGAGAGAAAACTTCAAGAAGCCGAAGGAATTCAAAGATGAGTCGGACGGTTGCATAGATACCTGGGTTAAGGTAACGAGACTACATCTTGAGCAAGACAACCTGAATGATGAAAGACAGGCGTGAACAGCGATACTAAGCAATCTGCAGGGCACTGCGCTGAAGTGCGTGGTAGCCAAGAAGGAAGAAGAACGTGACACGGCGGACATGTTTTTTGAAATGTTGCTGAACCGATTCGGATCCGGGATGAAGGGGCACCGGGCCATGATGAGATTCGAGAAAAGGAGATAGAGAGATGATGAATTTATTGATCGAATCCTTGTGGATCTGGAGAGCTTAAGAAGAAGAAGCGATCCAGAGGAATCAACTAATAGGAGAAACTTTAGCATTGCTTCGAAATTCATTGATGGGGTGAAAAGTGACGACTTCAGAACAATATTGGCAACATACTACACGCTATCGAAAGATAATGCACCAACCCCGGAAAATATGAGACAGTATTCTAGAATGTACATGTTGATGAAACCGGAGAAATACTCATTTTCAGACAGTAGGAACCTGCAAGGGGTAAGCCAACAACAAATGTCGTCATGGTACAAGCCAAGAGATGATATGGACAAACGAAGGTCATGTGTAAATTGTGGCTCGGCAGATCACCATGTAGCGGATTGCACCACTTACAAACAAGGCATGAGAAGCCTGGGATTTACGCCTGATGAAGAGGACATGAGTCAGGTGGAAGAGCACGAGTCTTACAGTGGCTTGATAATTGAAATAGGCGTACGGTGTTTTTCTGCAATCAGTTAGGCCATTTCAGGATGGACTGTCAGCTCTTTTGGGAAGAAGTGAAGAATCAAAATCAACCCAAAACACAAAATAGCACTTGCTGCGGTGCAAATACGAGGAATAGACAAGCTGTGAATGACTTGCAGGACAAAGAGGCAACGAGTGGTGAATTAGCGACAAAGACGGTAAAGGCCGTGACCGAAGAGAGAGAGAGAGAGAGAGAGAGAGAGATGCCAGAGGGGCCGAGTCAAGAAGCTCTCTAGGAATAAGCTACGAGAAAGCAGCAGCAGAGGCCATCAACAAAGTGAAACAAGACTTGGCGACAAAAGAGATCGAACAAATGCTGAAGCAGTAATTACAAAGACAACCGAGGAACGAGACACTCTCGATGGCAAGACCAGAACCCGAGACGAGTGACAATCCAACAGTCAGGAGCAATTGCAACACCTTGAAAATGGTGACTGGGAAACCCTTCGGAATCACGAAGATTGGGGCGAGAATCGTGTCGATAGTCACGGTTGGCGGCCATGAGGTCACGAGGAATCTGAGTGAACCCAGCGACCAAACACTAACGCACATAGATATATATGCTGACTATTTGCGCACCATCAGCCCACAAACTCTTTCGAGAGCACTCAGGGCATTACTCACGAGAGGTGGTGGAAAATCGATTAGGATAGACAGCAGGTACACAGAAGCCTACAGTCCACATGAGTTCATGCTGAACATAGATGGAATCAACATCTGCACAAAGACGATGATTAAGTGTGACGAGGATCTTGCCGATCAAATTTACTTAGGTCGAGAAGAACTCAAAGTGAGGTCGATTGGGCACTGCGCCATGCTAGAAGAGGATGCCATGCATCTGGGAACAGAAGCAGACCTATCCGCACATGTTCTTACGAGGACTGTTGCATACAGGGGCTGTCTTGAGTGTGATACCAATAGAAACATGGAAAAGAATGGGATTTGACAAGGAAGACCTGATAGATTTAAAGATACGGCTGTCAGCGGCAAACAAGGGAGCATTGAGGAATCTAGGCAGGACACCAATAATAGCTGTGAACCTGGGGGGACGCAACCTGTGGATGAGTTTTCTGTTGCTGGAGAATCTAGATGAGTCAGATCAATTTATTTCAGGCGGAGATTTCATCAGGATTTTTGATTTCACGATTGATCTTAACAATGTGATGTTCAGGATTCGAAATCCGGAAAGTAAACACTTAAATAAACAGATAATTTTGGTGATGGCGAATGAGAATAAAGCTCCCGTTTTCTCGGGTAGAAGGGTGAGATTGAAAGCGAACGAGGTCGCAATGGCAAGTTTGAGATTGAAAAACTATAATGAACAAAGTGATAACAAACAGGTATGTATAGTAACGAATCCTAATAGCCAAAGTGCTGCTATTTTAGGAAGATCATTCTCGATCACCAAGAGTGGCCTCTGCGTCAGTGTTTTGTTGAATACTCTTGATATAACGGTCACAATCCAGACAGGCAGGAAGCTGGGATACGCACTGCCGGTGAAAACTAGATATGAAATGACTGAAAATGTGAAAAAATATGAAGTTCTTGATTGTCCGAATCACAGGGACAAGATTTGTTCATCGTGTCTTATGAATTCACTTAAGTCAGAAACGGACGATGGACTTTCGAGCTGTTCGAATTTTCCAGAAAGACCTACACCGGAGGAATTGGAATTGGTTAAACTGGTATTGCCAGAAATTGAACATTTAAGGGGAAAATGAACATTTAAGATCGCAGAGTACAAAAACAGATATTTTTAGGCCAAAAGACTTTTCGATTAATCAGAATACCGAAAAATCTTTTATTTTTATACTATTAGTTTTTGCTAATTTCTAAAAATATTGTGGATATATACCTAAACGCCACAAACAACAGGTCAGAAGCTATATGACATAATTTGTCATTTATTTTTGCTCTAAATCAATTCCGAAGCGCTTATTACAATTAACTTAGAGATTTGAAAAAAAAAATCAAATGTTTTGTTTGGGAGTTTTTGTTCGGATTGCGTACATTATAATCACTATCATGAGAGTTGGTTTGAGATTTATAGAGAAAATAAAAGAAAAGGGAGCGACCATTTCATCAACTCGTGGCATTTTTGCTACAAATTGGTATCTACTAAAAAGTTGACACTTCTATAAGTAAAAGCAATAAAGGGGGGGGGGGTAATTGTTCAGCAGATCCAGCAAAAATTATTCCGAAACTTCTTCCCGGTGCCAGAAAAATTGGGCTGATTTTTTGCGACCGCTGGAAAGTAATTGGCATGATAACTTCATTCGATATTATTTTATTTGTGGAGCCTGAATTTGCGGGAAAAAGAAACCCAAATCTAAAGTTGCTTCATACTTTCGTTGTTGGGAATATTTGTTGAGAGAGAGAGGGCTGGTATAAAATTTCTGGTTATTAATTTGCCTGAATTTGATTTGTTACAATTTATCTCAATGTTTTCCAGCAAAATTTTTTGATTTACGATATATAAAATGTCCTTTCTCTAAAATAGTTGTCTGTTCCATCTGGATTCAATGTGACAATGTTTTCCAGCAAATAATTTTTAACGAGAGTTATTTTTTTCTGAAATTCAATTTGTTTTTCTTTTTAGGGGCAGCGTCGGTTTTATTTTTGTTCTGTGCTCGTGGCTCTTCTAAGTTATCATCTGGGTCCGCATAATGTTCTTGATTTCCAACGACATTGTAGCAGTCATCAGGGCCGTCTGGTCGTACTTTTAAAGCCTTGTCGTTCTTCCCAGAACTACAAGCATATGTGCCGTAGAACTCATCGCTTTGTTGTTCTGTTGATTCACTGCCGTATTCCGCCAAAATTTCATTATTACTCAATTCCAATTGAATCGGCGATGATGGGATTGAATGATCATTTGTTCCTGAGTCGTCACTGTTTGGTTTCGGATAATCTGCCGACCCTGATGCGCTTGATGACAATGCGCTCGGCTCTCGGTCGATTACAAAGCAATTTTCAGCTTTTTCAATAAAGATTTTCCTACTTGCCCCTTGATTTGCTCTTTCTGGAGACTCTGTTTTTTCATAATGATTCTCCACCTCCGTGTTTCTCAGTTTCTTAGATTTCGGGGAACTAGGAGGTTGTTGCTTTTCGTATAAAAAGCGAAGTTTTGGTTCAATCAGGTTGCGTAGTTCTTTCCCGTTACTTGTGCTTTCTTTTTTGATTATGTTCTTTTTAGGCAGGATGGGCGGTTGCTGAGACTGTTCAAAAATCATTTTACGGTAATGTATAGAATTTTTGCACGGCACCCGATCTTGTGTCGCTTTTTCGTCCTTTTCTACCACCTTAGACGCTGGAAATGTTGTAGACTCGTGGTCATTCCTTGGGATTTCAATGTCAACTGTTGGCAATGAATCATATTCTGGGTCGGTTACTTTGTCTGCTCGATTCGACCCTCCCCGTCGGGATATTAATTCATCCTCTTTACGCAGAAACTAAAAGAAAAAGCCAACTTTAATCGTTCGCATGAAACAAATTTTTCAAAAATACTTCATAACTTCTTTTGAAAGGTTCAAATGTTAGTAATGGTTTTTCAGTCATCGCCTTTTCCATCAATTGTAGCATAAAAGTTTAAAATGATAGTCGGTCCATGTGCAAGGAGCAAAGAATGTTCCGACCGCACTGATTGAAGAAAAGGAAACTGAAACTTTAAGATCGAAAAAATACAAAAATTTGTCTCATTTTTTTGTTCAAAACTAACGGTTTTTTTTTGTAGAATGAGAAATTGATTTTGGTGAAAAATTGCACGAATTGTGTGGTACAAAAAAGACTATAGAACGTTACAATAGTAGTAGGGAACTTAAATTTGCAGGTCTGCCTGTAATCAAATTGCTGTCAGTATTTATCTAATTTAGCCTGATTATTTATTTAGCCTGATTATTTTTTTAACGAAAAAAAAATGCAGACCAGTTTTTCTCGACACTGGGACAACTGTTTAAATTACTGTAAGAATCCAGATCACGGCTCAAAGGGCTTAAGTATGATACCATTTGAGACTACGGGCTTTGAAAAAGGACGTGGCACATTTCGCCCCTCAGACATTTCGCCCCTCGTATTGGCACATTTCGTACTTGACACGTTTCGCACCTAATATCCGGCACCTTTAAACCCAAATTGTGTGAAGAGGCGAAATGTGGGATGGCCAAAAAAATACTCTTAGTCGGAACAAAAACTAATAAAGACCATGCTCTTTTGAGGGATTCGTCTCTATATGCCCTTTGATACTATTTTACATCCATTTTTGATCGACCTACCCGAAAGTTAACTGAAGGCTCTTTTGGGTCTAAAATACATTAAATTTGAGGGGGAAGTGGAGTGCGGCAAAAAACGCATTTTTTTCAAAAACCTCAAAAAAGTGAGGCGCAATTTTTTTACGCCAAAATAGGACTTTTACACTGTTATGGGGGCGCTCAAAAAGTGAGTTTTCTCAATATAAAAAAAATTCGACTAATTTTTTTGAAGTTTTGATAAAAAATCCACCTGTCTTCATAAAATCTAGATTGTTGCAGCAAAGCTTAGGCTTCCCGAGTAAAACCAGATTCTAGCTGGAGCGTATTTTATACCGTTAGTTAGGAAATATCTGAACGATTCCGATCCCTCACATTAACTTTTGAAAATACTTTTATGATTTCAATCATAATTTTATTTAAAGAAACTTCGAACGCACTTACATGGTACCCGTCGTCCAATTCTTCGTCTCGTTCTTCAGTACCCATATCATGGTTTTTTTCTTCCTTTTCCTGTGTCTTATTTTTCGCGTGATTTTCAACCATCAAAAATTCATCTTCAGCTGATGAATAAACGGTCGAAGACTTTCTTTTTGAGTTTGCTGAGTGAACACTTTTCCCACTGTTTGAACTTTTATCCCCACTCTGTCCCGATGGATACTCAACTGATCCTGTTTTCATTTCTTCATTTGTAGTGTTTCCTTCCAAAAGCTTGTCATATTTTAACAGAAGATCTGACTGCTTTTGCCTTAAATCTGCAGTCGAATACTTTTTGCAGACTACTTCTTCGCAAAGTTGGTCAACTTTTAACCATAAATGGAATATGTTCATAAAAAGTTGAAAGTCGCCCCAAGTTATAAACTCGCGTGCTTTTCCTGCGATATAGTCGCAGAAGGTCGCGAACTCATTCACGGGTTTGGCAAGATCAATTCGTGGATTCAGAAGCTTACTGCCGATTGTTTCAAGCTGGTTCTCGTCCAAATCAAGTCGAAAGAGATGTAAAATTGTGCCATGGATCAGCTTGTAATCCTGACTTTCCATTTTCGTAAATTCACTTTATTGGTTGTTACAATTTTTTTTCTTCAAATAAAATATGTGAACGATTAGTTTGAGCTGGTTAATCTTGCACAAGATTTAAATAGTCCTCTTTTTGAATTGGTTATTTATTGAGAAAAAATAGACGCATGCACACAAGCATGCACACAACTAAGCAGCAAAAATACAAAATTAATGTTTACTATTGTACTTTTTATATCTTATCAAAATGATGTAATATTTTTAGCCTTAAAAATAGTCAGATGATTGAGAAAAAAACTACATTCAGCTAAAAAATGCCAATTATTTGGCAATCATAGATAAATCAAAAGCGTGCTGAACAACTAAAAATAATTAAATCATTATAGAAGAAATTGGTTTCATCGAAGGGTCTTGATTTACATGATAGAGCGATCAATGCTCAAAGCGTGTGTAGAAAGGGCAAGAATGTGTTTTTTTTTCAACAAAATTAAGTTATAAAAAAGGCCGGTCATATCATGGCTACATCCAGGGGCGGATCTAGGATTTTCTTGAGGTGGGAGGATCTTCAAAAGAAGAATTGAAAATTTTGTCGAGCTTTTTTTAGGTCGACCAAATTGATTTTCTGAGCTTTCTCAAATCACTATAAAATACCTATTTTGACCAAATTGTTTGCGCGGCAGGCAATTTTTTGAAAAAACAGGCCAAAAAAGGCGTTTTCATGCACTTTTTGGAAAATTTCGACCAAAAAATTGCGTTTTTTTGGCGCGCGCTCCCTCTCAAAATTACTATACGTTGGCGCCAAAGGCGCCTTTAGAAAAATTTTAAAGTCAGTCAGCCAAAAATGGATATCTCAAAATAGCACAAAGGGGTAACTTTTGGGTCCGCAGGGGTTCGAGTCCCTGAGGGGGGCATCCACCTCCCCAAATCCGCTACTGGCTCCAAATTCCAACTGCCCTTCAAATTCTCTCGCTTATTTTTTTAAAAAACAAAAGTTTGACTAAGCTATATTGTTTGTAGTATTTCCCGCCCTCATTTAATACAAAACCCTAAATGTTATAACTCCAGCCTTTAAGGGGATTAATGCAAAAATTAACGAAAAGTTTTCCCAAATGTACAACTGTTCAGGTCATAGAGTTAATCAAATTATGCTGCAATGTCTTCATAGGGTTGAAAAAACCTATTTCACAGCTTCACAGCTTTTTAAAAAGAAGTTCCGGAAGTACAAATTTCAAATAATTTAACAAAACGACCCAAGTTTTAGCTTTTGCATTTTGCACCAGTTTGTTCTACACCTGCACCGGAGCTCCATGGAAAATATTTGTTGCCCTCGGGAAAATCAAGGTTATTGCAATCAAATACTGGACTTTTTTCCCGTATATAGCTTTGTTCACAAGACTCATCAATTTCTGGTGGTACATAAGTTCATAATGAATTCAATTTTCGAATAGTATCAAGCTCACTTAGCCTGGAGATAACAAAAACTCCTTGGATGGCAAAGTTCCTGGGTGCGAGTCTGACCAGGCAATGATTTTTTTCATATGGTAAATATTCCGGTTCAAAAAAAGTTCGGCATAATATTTTTCTGCTTATTTTTTGTCGGTAGGGCCAGATCTATCAGATCTCTGAACCGTTATTTCTAATGTAACAATTTTCACAGTAGTTGAGTTAAGTTCTTACCATTTTAAAAATCTGGCCGAATCGAAAATTTATTTTGATTGTAGTTTTACTAACTCGACCTGTTAAAATTTGATTTTTTCCTTTTTTCTGCTTAACCGATTTTGCTTTTTCTATACCGACTTTTAATGACCGGAAAAAGTTTTTGTGTGCGTATGTTTCTGAGTTGAAGAAAGCCTGTTATTAATTAAAGTTTTTCAATTTTTTTTCGGCAGGAATGGTTTTTGCTGAAGTATTTTCTGTAATATTACCGTTTGGTAAATGTTGTTCCGATCTGCATTCATTTTGATAAGTCTAGATCTATGTATAGTGATAAAAACATCGATGATGTGCTTTTGAAATTGATAATACGATATTACGATCCTTCAGTTGTAAGTCTCTGATTAGTTTCTGAATTTTGTATACCACCTTGAACTCAGTATATGGCTGTCGTGGATATTATTCGGGCTGTGCATGTATTTTTTTTCAATAAAAGTTTACCGTTGATTGTCGGCAAATTGGCTGTCGGCTTTATTCTGTCGGCCTATTTACCTAAAATTGTGTTTACCAAAATTTCTGTTGTTATTTAGATATCGATGTCTTTGGCCCGAAAGTTAAATTTTTTAATGCTCAATTTCAACTCCACTTGGAACTCTTAAAAAAATTAATATATTTGAACATAAAAAAAGTTATTTTCTAAATTTTTTTAATCCTTTCTTCGATGATAACAATGTTCGAAGTCTT